ATTACTCCCTTAGGAAAGATGTCTAGAAGTGTAATTACTGGATCAAAATTTATGCATACATTTACTGACTGGATAAAATGTTGCCAAATTTTGCTTCAGAAAGCATATTTGATTTCATGTTTCTATGTTTAAAATTGGTTCTAATTCTTACTTTATGTAAGCAATATTTCATGTTTTTTATGATAGCTATTATACTAACTAGCATAAAATCCTATCATATAAACTTTTTTGCTCTCATATAAATTCTTATATCTATTATTTCTGATGATATTGGCACTTAATAATTATCAGGTAATTTTATTTTTAAACTTTCAACTTATTTTTAATTTGGAACACTCATGAGTCACTTGAAGCCAGCAGCTGTCATTGTAATTCATGGGAGAAAGAGAAAGTTCTTACAAGACCTTGCATTGGTCTGTGAGTATGGAAATGTAATAGTTAATATATTCTAGCAGGCATCTTGCTTTCTGACAGCTCCTAATTCCTCCCTGCTGTTGCCAGCCTCTCAGGCTCCATCTTACCTTTCTCTATTCAAGCATTGCTTCCACCAAGTGATGTGTATGTGGGATTCAGAAAAAGAAGACACAGCCTGTGAGTGTGGGAGCAAGCATGGGTGGTGTGTCCACAGGGCCAGCTCATTCCGAGACAAAATAGTAATCTTGCTGGCCATTGTTCTTCAGCCCTTCTTCTCTGGACATCTCTCTTACCTGTGTGTTTTGAGTCCTCCCAGTATTCTTTCTTTCTGTTATGGGAATTCTTCCCTGAACTTTTATATTCATCCTAGGTTGATGCTTCCTTCTTTAGCTTGATATAAACTACAGGTTGTGTCTTTTGCCATGGCAATTTCTCTACCTGTTTTTAAGTGGCCATTATTATGGTTAAAGGTATCTTCTTATCACTTCTATAATTGGGCACCAGAGCAGTAGACTGCTAAGTATATTTAGTTTTACCAGCTTAGAACTGGAAGTACTTGTATGTATCAATTTGCTAATACATTTACAGCGTGTGAAAGTAACTTTACCCTTTATGATGGAACTCAAATGAAGCATAGTGATGGGAAAAAAGGATGATAAGTAAAGGTAAACCTTTTCTATTAAGAGAAAAACAATAGAGATGACTTGCTTGCTTTCAACAATTGGTATAGTACCTTATTTATCAGAATGCCTTAAAGTTTACCAAATGCTTTATTCCTTATTTGATCTCAATTCAGTAAAATGGAGATTATTTTCATTTGTACATGAAAAAAGGGTACAGGCATTTTAAATAAGATGAAGAGAGATACTGTGTGGAAGAAATAGATTTGAACCAGTCTTTAGCTTTGAAGCCCAGTATTTACTCTATCTTACTATGAACAGATAGTTTCAATTATATGAAAAGATTTGAAAATGTGTGTTTGAATAAAATATTAGCAGTCTAAGGGAAGATGAAGCAAAGCATTCAAGAATCTCTTGACACATTGATATCGAATCTGAATAAAGAAAACCAAAGATATTGAGTGGAATTAAAGGTGTTTTATCTTCTGAAAGGCTTTATTGAAAACTACATTGAGGTTTATGTGGAAACCAAGGTAGTAGCTGCAAAGTGGCATTCTATCTGCACTTCTCATCACAAATTTAAACACAGAGATTTTAATTTCCTGTCAGAATAAAAAAGAATAGAAGGGTAAAGTTCTTACAATTAGTTTTCAGACAATACATTTCTTTCACAAACCTTTGGATATCTTTCTTTCAACTCACTGAATTGTTGCCTGGTCTGAAATATTTTAGAGTGAATTTCTTTAGTTTAAAATGAAAACTACCCAGATAGACTTTGGGGGCTTTGGCTTCTTTGTTATTTCTGAATAGAGTACCTTTTGTATTTTGGCTTGGTTATTCCTACTTTTCTCTGTAACCAGGTCATGGGATTCAGAAATAGGGCTGAAAGAGCCTCTTGAGGTATATGGCTCCCCTGTTCAGTGGAGAGGTTTTAATTATATTATTTGCTTTCAAAACCTGAAAAAAGTTTTAAGGGTGAGTGACTAGTTTGAAAGTCTTAGCTTGAGATAAAAGAGAAATAGATTTTTATGTTTTAAAAAGAGGATTCAGAGAAAAATACATAGCGTGTTAGTTGGAACAATTCTGAGACACTGGAGAGACTTCTCTGTCTGCTCATGATGGACAAGAAAATTCTGTGACATGCTGAAATTGGTATGCATGTTTTATTTTGCTTCTTTGGTTACAGCATAAATGGAGTTTAATTAAAGTTACTTAGCAAAGAGTAAGGAGACTCTCATAGGGATTCAAGCAGGAAATATGTAAGGCTTGGTGGAGCCTAGAGCTACTGGAGCTAATATATAACTTTCAGTTTAAGAGGATTTGGAATTTTCAGTTGCATGAATTTTAGGATATCACATTTTGTTGTACTGTTGACAAGTAACCATATTCCAATATTTGTTCTACTTACACCTTATTTCTGCTTCTCTATAACTTCAGTACACAATCCCAGTGTGGGCTCCGTAACTCCTTGACAAAATAATTTTGCTTTTAGTTTCCAGAAGTAAATGGCAAATCACTTAGCTATTTATTGGTTAAAATTCCCCAAAAGTCTATGGCTAGACCACTCTATTAGATCTCAGATGATTGGCTCCAGCCTGTGATTAGCTTCTTTGGCCTGAATCAAGACCTTGTTCATTATGTAAGCAGTAGGATCATACTGTGTAAAATCTGTAGGTAGCATGGTCCCTAGGTTGGTGGTGGTGGGGGATATATCTGTAGGAAAAATCTGGCAGTCTTAGCATATATCTAATGGACCTGGAATTATAACAAGGCAATTTGACTTCCAAATCTATCTTCCCAAATCCATATATTCTTTTTTATTATATATTAAGTCCTGCATTAAGAACTAGAGTGGTAATGGTGAGAAAACCAGACAGGGTGTCTGCTCTCTCAGAGCTGCATTGAAATGGAAAAACATATTAATCAAAAATAATTGATATTGTGAATGTATAATCATAAACTAAAATCAAATCACTAAAAGAAAGGATCCTTGCTCTGTAAAACAAAATAGGAATCACACTAAACTGGTAGATTAGGGAAGGCTTCCTGGAGGAAGTGACATAAGTTAAGTCCTAAGTAATGGATAAGAATCATTTAGGTAAACGGGAAAAACACATTCTATACAGGGTGGAAAGCATTGGAAAGGCTCTGGAGTGGAGGGAACAAGGATGTTCAAAGAACTGGAAGGAATTTCAGTGTGACTAGAATGCAGAATTTGGGTAGAGGGGGCCATTGCCAAGAAATATATACTTGAGGCTTTGATCTTTATCTGAAGATCAAGTCTCAAAGTGTTTTAAGTAGAGAGTAAAATAATCAAACCTTGAAAAGATCATTTTGCCTGAAGTATAGATGACATACTGGGAGGAGGCTAGAAGTAGGAAGGACTTCTAGCAGACTTTTTTTTTTTTTAAAAAAAGATTTATTTATTTATGCATTCAGAACTAGGATACAGGCCAGAGGTACAGGGATGGTGAGAGGATTCACCAGAGACAGAGTGGGGAGCAGAACAGGCTGACTGATGAATTACACTGCTGAGGGGAGCAGCAGGCGGGTCAGGAGAGGTCTACTGCACCATGTGGATCACCTCTAGGGTGGGGATCAAACTCATGCTGAAGTGGCTTTAGTGTCTTAGTGCCTCCTTTAACCCGTTGCACCACCAAGAAGGGCCCCTAGTGGACTTTTTACTGATGAAAGTAAGAAATGATGGCAACTTCATTAAGTAGTAACAGTAGGGGTGGAAAGACCTGGACATATTCAAGTGATATTTAGGGTTAAATTTGGAAATGGTGATAGGTTGTAAATTTTTTCTAGCTTAGAAAATTACTGGGGGGAAAACGAACTTAAGAGTGACAGATCAATGTGTCAATGCTCGATATAGTAAGTTTTATGCATATTTGAGACATTCATGAGAATGTTTTGAATAGTCAGTTGATCTGGGATATTGAAGTCAGGAAAGGGTTTAACCTTGGGAGTCTTTGAGTGCTTATCCTTGGCCAGGTTAAGGAAGAAGTGTGTGTGTGGAGCCTGGGAATTCAGTTATCTCTTTCTCTTCAGGCTTGGCTTCTTGGCTTTTAGCGTCCTCTCTTCAACTACCTCTAAGCTTTGTCTCTTGGGGTAAGTATGTAGCAGATAGCTGAAGGATTCTGACTGTTGATCACTTTCAGTGTATCCAAACAAAGTTTTTGGCTTTCTTACGTTCAAATGATAGCATCTGCATAATCCCTTCACAATTTTGATTAGATATCAAGTGTATCATATAATTTCTTCAATTTCCCATTATTAGCATATGTTTTTGATCCTACAGCCCCCACCCTCAAAATCTTAACCTCTTCACAGTCAAACTTAGCTTATTTAGAAATTCCAATGCTAAAGGTCAATCTTGTGAGCTTTAAGGTAGTCTGAAAAATAAATGCTCATTTGCTGTAGTCTATTGCCTATTTTTAAATTTGCTGTGGCTGTTTTTTTTCTTTAATTATGTGAACTCTTGGCCTCTTTTCTTTATATTAATATAACTTATATTTATATTATATTAATATTGTACACTTATAATGTTTATATTAGTACTGTTGTTAAATTACCCCTTCTCTGATCTCCCTTGATACTTTGGGCTAGTCTGAAGCAACTGAAGGACACATTATTCCTAAATCACATGTTTTATTTTTTGTAACTAGGTCTAGAGAAGAAGGCCTTTGTGAATCTTGAGTCCCTAAAGAGATATGTGTATCTGGTATTTCTGCCTGGGGTTTTATTATTTATTTATCAATTATTTGAGCATCATCTGAATTTAGATTTTGTATTATATAGTCACTGAAGATACAGTTCTTATTTATTTACTTTTTTAAAAAATATATATTTATTCACACAGATAAAATGACAAAGTAATTTAGTGAAATTTCATTGAAGAAATAGCTTTAGGAGTAAAGTTTGTTATTTTATTGACAAGAGAGTTTTTGTTTCATTTGAAAGTTTCAGGATCTGAAGTTGAAGGAGTTCTACTGTGAGAGAAACCCATTGTTCTTGAAGGAACCAGTTAATGCTGTGAAACAGGATGCTGTCTGGAGTCTACAGGTGAAGGCTTCTATCATCCAACAGGTCTTCAAATTAAAGCTATGATTTAGTTTTTAAAAAGTAATTGACATTTTGATTTAAAAAGTAAAATAGCGTCATGTATTTGTCAGATTTGTGATTATAGAGTAGATGTAATCTTTTTCAAAAACATTTACTTGACGTTGAATGATATTCTTTATTGATAAAATTTTAAAAGACCTCGATGGAATATACAGATAAGCAGAGTCAAAATTGGAAAAAAAAAATATTTATGTTGCACTTTGAAACAAATGCAGGAACTGGTAAAACTTTCTTTCTAAGGCATTTGTCATTATTTGACAAACAGCTTGAATATATCAGATCCTTTCAACTGATTTCAAAACACGTGCAAGGTATTATGTCAGAAATTTTGGTTTTGAAAATCTTTCCAGCATAAATTGAAAAAGCACTGGATTTTTCATACCCTGTTAACACAGTAACCTATCACTTAACAAAGTAACCTTCCAGATGCCATACTTGCTTACACTTCTTCAATTGTATATTATCATATCACATGTACCACCAAAGTACCAGTTACCCTCCAGATAGTTCACCTCCACCCTTTGCTTTCTACTCTGTCCTTCCTTTCTGGTAAATCAGTTCTACAGTCAGAATTCCAGGTTTTCCTTTGTCTGCTCTTTTTTCTTTTTCTTTTATATTCCACATATGTGTGAAGTAACATGAGTTAAATTTTAAAAAGTTTCTTTTCATAGCATTCTTGCCAAGCCAGCAAATGATCAATATAACCCTAGTCCACTGGCAATGTAGGTCCCAGACTTAATCTGTAACTTGCTTACAAAATCTAATGTAATCCTGTCTGATTTCTAGGATGACTAAATTCAGAGAAGTGGAAAGGTCTCATTGCGTACATAGAAAAAGAGAGGAATTTGTTTTCACTGTATGTTTCCATGCTGTTTTTTTTTTTTCAGTATTATCTCAGGATATGTAACTTGTTTTATGAGGGTCCTTGCCTTTTATATCTCACTTTCATTTATCTCTATTCCTAATGGATGAGAAACATGATTCAGGAATCATTTTCACTTTAGTCAAACAAGTTGATGGTATTAAAAGAAGTGGAAAAACTTATTAGGAGATTCTTCTGGTGTCCCATAGATATAGAGGAGGTAAAGATTATAGATTATAGTACACTTGAATGTGAGTCTCTGTCATGAATTGGACTTATGTCCTTTTAGGTATATAACTGAACATGCAGGTTTGTCTTAAGACTTTCAGAAATCACATAGGATTCAATCTTCAATGCAGTGGACAACTAGCATTGTCCAATGGCTTAGTTTGTTTTAAAATAACTTTTTTTTTAACTACTGCATGCATAAGTTTAATTATAGAAATCTAAATGTGCAGAGGAGTAAGAAAAATATCAGGGCCTCCCCATTGGCCTAGGGGTTGTCTCAGCTCTATCACCACTGCAGACCCCGGCACTGTTGCTCCAGGAAATCTGTTTTCTGCTCCCCACTCTGCCTCTTGTGAATCCTCTCACACCACAAACAATCCCCCCCAACCCCCCACCTCTGGCCTACATTCCATTTCCTCTATGCATAAATAAATAAATCTTTTTAAAAAACATACCACCATATTGATTTTAAAAAGTTTATTATAAATGCAACAGGTAAGCCAATAGAATTAACTATTATTCTTCTAATACATTCTATGCTACCAGAAATTATTTTTAAGGTAAAGATAATGTTAAAGTCTATACACTATTTAGAAAGCTGTTTTTATCACTCAAAATATTGTGGCTGCCTTTCCAATCAATAAGAAATATTTCTTATTGATTGACATCATTTATGCTGAATATATGGTATTCTGTTACATGATTACACATAGTATTTTTAGCTACTTCTCTCTCTCTCTTTTTTTTAAAGATTTATTTATTTATTCATACAGAACTGGGGTACAGGCCAGAGATACAGAGGGTGAGAGGATTCACCAGAGACAGAGTGGGGAGCAGAACAGGCAGATCGATGAAATACACTGCTGAGGGGAGCAGTGGGCAGGTCAGAAGAGGTCTGCTGCGCCATGTGGATCTCCTCCAGGGCAGGCGGGGATTGAACTCATGAGGAATTGGCTTTAGCTTCTTTGTGCTGTGCTTTAACCTGCTGTGCCACCAGGGAGGCCTGCTACTACTTTTTTTTTTTTTTTTGACTGTTTTGATTACTAACATTTTTCTGGATTTTTGGCCTTTAATACAAGGCTAACATGATAACTGTAGAAAATTTTTCATGTCCACATTATCCCCATTATTGAAATTCCTGGGCCAGACAATTGGCATCTTTGAAAATTTGATTTGCTCTTTTCACATTCCCTTCCAGAGAATCAACCTATAGTTCTAAAACACTATTTTTTCCTAGTCTTGTATGAAAATAACCCATATTTGAAATTTAATTATAAGTGACTTTAAAACAACTATAGTATTTAATTTGTTTAATCCCTTAAGCCTATTTTTTCTCCTTGAATCAAGCATTTCATAATAATAATAACAAAATTAATTATGGCTTGCTAAACTTGCTATGGGCAAGGCATTGTTCTAAGTGCTTAACAGGAATGAACTAATTTAGTTCTCTAATAACCCTAGAAATGTAAGCTGTGTTAATTCTCCCTTTTATAGATAAAACTGACATTCAGCAAGGCTGTATAATTTGTCAACTTCACAGAACAATAAGTGTTGGGATGATGATGGCTATCTAAGAAGACTCTATATTGCAGTATTACCTCAAAAAAGGGCTCCCTGAAAGTCAGATAGTCACTCCCAAATTGTAGGAGATTCTGGCTGTGGAGGAGGAAGGATGAAACCAGTGTGGTGGTGAGCTTACAGAAACTCTTGAGGGCATGTTGTCCTTTGCTGGGACCAGGATACAGTATGAAAGCAATACTTTTTCTTCTTTCTTTTATTTAGGAGCACAAGAATTTTTTTAATATACATAGTAGAATTAAAGATTTTTACTTATATAAATGATTTGGGTAAGTTTTTGTTCATTTTTTTAAACTTTTGTATTTATTTTCTTATCATTGTTAATTTTTGGACAGTATTTGATTTCTCCTTCAGGTGTACTACCAGTAATTCTCCTGCCACAACAGCATGATTTGGGTAACTTTGAAAGTATCTCTAAGAGTATTTTCCTAGAAATCTGTCTTATATTGACTGTAAATTTCACATTTGTACTTAAAATAAAAGTCATTTATGGGCCCTTCCTGGTGGTGCAGCAGGTTAAAGCACAGCACAAAAAAGCTGAAGCCACTATAGCATGAGTTCGATCCCCGCCCCGGAAGTGACCCACATGGTGCGGCAGATCCCTCCTGACCTGCCTGCTGTTGCCCTCAGCAGTGTACTTCGTGAGTCGGACTGTTCTGCTCCCCACTCTGTCTCTGGTGAATCCTCTCACTGCCCATGCACCTCTGGCCTGTAACCCAGTTCTGTATGAATAAATAAATAAATCTTGAAGAAAAAAAGAGTCATTTCTACTGGACATCTGGTTAACATTACTGATTAAATTGCTTGGTCTATCAAAGAATTATAGGACTTTGACTCAGACTATACGTTGGTTAAGATTAAAAAGAAATTCTTTAGAGATCTATGAACTTAAATTTAATGTTGACAACTAAAAAATAATAATAATAATAATAATAATAATAAAATATTAGCCAGAATACACTTCATTGGTAGATTGCCAGACTAAGCATTTTACCTTTATTATCTAATTTAGTTCTCTGAATTCTTGGTTATAGTGCCATAAAAACAACTGTTTTACAGGTGAGGTGTCTAACTAAGATCAGGGAAGTGAAGGACTTGTTCAGATAGGGTCACACAGCTAAAAATTCATATGGCCAAATTTGTACCTTTCATCATCTACTGATGATCTTTGCTCCTAATACTATATTTAGTTTGTTATGCAAAGTAACCATTGGTCCTATAACAGTTCCAAGTTCATCATTCCTTTTAAGAATTCATTTCTCTTCACACTTAGAATTCTGAACAATTTTATAAATATAATTTGTATGTGAATAATTTTATAGTTCAAAAAGTTTATAATTCAAATTAATTCATCATATAAAGGGAACAATAAAAAATTATACCTGAAACTAATTTTAAATTAAAATGGATTAAGCATAGGAATATTCTCTGACCTACAAATATCAGCTGACAAATAAATATTCCAACAAAATAGCATACAAACTATTCAAAAGGAACAATTTATTTGTCCATAAGTGATTTTTTTTATGTTCTTTAAATAATGCTGGAATTAAGGGAACTTTTATTGTCTGTTTTCAAAAACTGAATTACATGTATCTCTAAAAGGTATCCTAAAGGATTCTATTGGCCATGCCAATGGTATATTCACATATGCTTGTATTTCCAAGTAATAACTTTATATTTTAATGGTATATGTCATTCTTCCAAAGTAACACATTGGCAGCAAGTAGGAGAATATAAATAATGGGTAATGTAAGAGTTGTCAAGAGACACACCAAGTGTTACAAACATGTTTGAGTCCAGAAGTCTTAAATGGAAAAAGTAGATCTATGAATTGTGACTTGTTTATAGGTCCCATGTATTTCAGCAATTTCTTCTACCATCTGCATTTGGGGGAGTAAATTTTTGTCTATTAGTTTTTGAAGCTTTATAGTGAGACCTTATTATTGGTTTCATTTAGCTGAAAATTTACTTCTAAACTCAGTATTTCATCCAGTTTCACAAGCTATGCTATGTGAAAATACAAGGAGAAAGGGTGAAAATAGACCTAATTTAGGAGTCCTGGTAATATTAATGGTACAGGTAATTTTTTTGAAAAGGATGACTTCATTATGTAACTATTCAGAAGAACGAACTTAGGTAGATAGGAGTTTATACTGTTGAAAGATCAAACATGTGAAATAATGCTTCTTGCTCTATAAAGGCAACTTTCCCACATGCTTGTTGCCTAAAGAAAAAAATCTTTATGGGATTGTTACATGTTATAATTAATTTAAAATTCCATCTTTAAAAAAACAAAAACAAAACCTAAAAACTACAATTGGTATCTTTCTCTTAAATTTATTCTTTTATCATTACTTAAATGGTAGACAAATTTCTCATAAAACTAAGGTTTTAAGTGGCAGTGAAAATGTAATAAAGTGTCAGAGATAGAATAATAAAGAAAAAGGAGGCAGCAATTTTATAGTTTTTTTATTTTTAAGATTTTAGTTGTTATGAATGAATGTACAAGAGAATGTGTGTATGTATGCATGCATGTATTCCCAAAGATCCTTATCATGGACTGACATGGACTATTTTAATAGCATTTTTTTTCACAAAAAGAAAAGCCCTAAATAAATCAATCCCATACACTATGAAAATTCATGGAGTGTTTGCGTAATGTTTATAAGAAGTTCTATGATATCAGCACAAACAATGGGGCCATTTAGTGAAGTTTATTTTATTTATTTTGCTTGATTGGTCTGTGAAGATTTTTTTATTGCACTTTTCATACATGTGCATAATATATATACATTTATTATTTAAGATGATGATGTCTATTCTGAAAGTCATTTTAGATTTTTTCATTATAGCTTATATCAGTGTAATAATTTAATATAATATATATTATAAATTATTATATAAAATTTAGACATAGCTCTGTGGATAGGTTTAATAGAGATTAAAATCATAGATTTGGTTCATGGAAATAACTATTCTGATCATATGAGCAAAGTACTTTATTCAAGTATTTAATGCAGTTAAATACAGATAACTAAGTTCAGTGCTTCCCACATTTTAATAAGCATACATTTAAATTACCTGGGAAATTATAATTCTAATTCAGTAAACTCGGGTTGACCTTCGAGCTTACATTTCTTTATTTATTTCTTTTTAAGATTTATTTATGCATATAGGACTGGGGTACAGGCCAGAGGTCCAGGGGCAGTGAGAGGATTCAGCAGAGATAGAGTGGGAGCAGAACAGGCAGATGGATGAAGTACACTGCTGCGGGAAGCAGTGAATGAGATAGGAGAGGTTTGCTACATCATGTGGATCACCTCCAGGGCGGGGATCAAACTCACAGGGATCAAACTCACACTGAAGCAGCTGTGGCTAGCTTGCAGTGCTGTGCCTTAACCCACTTTGCCACTAGGGAGGGCCACAGTTTGCATTTCTAATACGCTTTGAGGTGAAGTAGATTATTCTGGCTCATGAATAATGCTGTAAAATTTAGACATTAGTGTGACAAATTCAATTTTTAAAAAAACTTCTTTTCTCCCAACTGCTTTATTGTCTCTTTCTGGATTTTTTTTTTTAAAGATTTTTTTATGTATACATAACTGGGGTGCAGGCAAGAGATGGTGAGAGGATTCACCAGAGACAGAGTGGGGAGCAGAACAGGCAGATTGACGAAGTACACTCCTGAGGGGAGCAGTGGGTGAGACAAGAGAGGTCTGCTGCACCATGTGGGTCACCTCCAGAGTGGGGATCAGACTCTCACTGAAGCAACTGGCTCACTTACAATGTTGCAATTTAACTTGCTGTACCATCAGGGAGGGCCCAACAAATTCAATTTTTAAGTTTGTGCAGTCTTCACTTAGTGTAATTAAGGGTATAAAACTTTAACCTAAATATATTTAATTTGGTAAAATATAGGACATAAATTTGATTATAACTTGAATTTCTATATATAAAAACAAATAATAATAAAGGAAGTAACTTGCTTTTCCTAAAGGATTGAAAATTAAGCTTAATTATATTACAGTCATTGATAATATAATTCATTATATGTATTATGGAAAATTAATTTAACAAAATAGTTAGGAATATATAAGGAAATATATTAGTGAAATAGAGATCAATAAAATACAGAACATTCATTCTGAAAATAACCAGAAGAACCATATATTTTTTTAATATAGGAGATAACATCACGATATGTAATGAAACAGCTAGCAAGAAACAATCCTATCCTAAAAGAAGCCATAAAGTGGCACCCACAGGTCAGAAACATACTCTCTAAGGCAAGAAAATGTGCAATCTGTGGAGATTCGTTTTTGACCATATGGCTGGAATGTGTTGAGTTTGTTCCTCCACAGAAGGTAAATAATAATTTTTTGTGTGTGAATATAAGCATAAGAGACTTCCTCTGACTCTTTGACCTGTGAACATTTATTAACTATAAGAAGTGACTTCTATAAGTTTAATACTTCAGATCTTGAATATATTCTGAATATTTCAGTTCCTGATTGCATTCAGGACTTCAATGCATTTTTTAAAAGATTTATTTATTTATGCATACAGAACTGTGGTACAAGCCAGAGGTGTGGAGGTGAGAGGCTTCACCAGAGACAGAAGAGGGAGCAGATCAAGCAGATATACTGAAATATACTACTGAGGGGAGCAGTTGGTGGGTCATGAGAGGTCTGCCGTGCCATGTGTATCACCTCCAGGGCAGAGATCAAAACTCATGCTGAAGTGGCTTTAGCTTCTTTGTGCCTGCTTTAATCTGCTGTGCCACTGGGGAAGGCCCTCAATGCATTTTTGAGTTGTTTTTTGTATACCATGTAACATAGAGTTCTAATTTCATTTTGCGCATGTAGTAACTCAATTTTTACAGCACAATGTGAAGAATCATCCTATTCCCATTGAATATTCCTGGCTTCCTTGCTAAATATTAGTTGACCAAATATGTGAAGTTTTATTTCTGGGCTCTCAATTGTTCTCAATTAGTCTCTATATGTTTCTATACTAATACTATATTGTTTTGATTACTATAGCTTTGTGCTATAGTTTGAAATCAGGAAATTTGAAGTCCCCCCTTTTCCTCCTTTTTTGGGGGACTGTTTTGTCTATTTGGGGTATTTTGCAGTTCCATACAAATTTGTGGATTTATTTTCTATTTCTCTGGAAAATAATATTGCAGTTTTTCAATTGCATTGAATAGCTAGATGGTGGCAGACATTATGGGCATTTTGAAGATAGAAATTTTTCTGATCCAGTACATGAACTAGCTTTCCATTTATTTTTTGTTTCCAATTTTTCTCATTAAAGTTTTGTAGTTTCAGGGTAGGTACAGACCTTTTACCTACATAGATTTATTCCTAAGAATTTTAATATATCACCTGCAAACAAAAACAATTTTATTTCTTTTTTCTTTGGGTGTCTTTTATTTATTTTCATAGCCAAACTGCTTTGGTTAGATTTTCTAGTACCACATTGACTAGGAGTGATCAAACTGACACCTGTTACATAAAAAGAGCTTTGCACATATTTTATTTCTAGGAATTATTGATAAATCACAAGTGTGTGGATTTGAATACCAGTTTCTCTGTTCTATCAAGTAATTAACATATCAAATATATCATAGAGAAAAATCTAGTAGGAAATAAACAACAGGATAAGCCCTGAAGGATGAAGAAGGCTTGAAGAAAGACTTTGAGGATAGGGAAACTAGATGCACAATTGTAGGATTTGCAAGAAGCTATTAGAAGATGAAGCTTAAAAATGGGTCTGTGTTGCTTAACAATTCAGAAAGAATGAGCTGTTTTGATTATTATCTACCTTAAGGAATTAGTAGATCTAGAACTGTCTTATCAAGTGATGTGCCTTATTTGTTCTACTATCTGAAGGGCCTAAGGAAGTCAGAAAGAAGAACTGAAAGTTTTTGAACTATAAGATCATAGTTGTAGTACTTTTCCACTTAAAAAAATGATTTTTATGTAAAATTTCCTTCAATATCTGTAATGGATACTTAACAAGATGCTTGCTAGGCTCTCAGCATCCAAAGATAATGACACTGCTCATGCTATTGAGAGAGACCATGGTTTATATATAAAGATACAGTTTTATAAGCATTATAATAAGGTGTTATGTACCCTTGCTAGGGAGTCAGAAAGTAAATTTAGAAGATGACTTTGTGCTGCTGTAATGAAATACCACAGAGTGTTTTTTGTTTGTTTTTAAAGATTTATTTATTTACGCATACAGAACTGGGGTACAGGCCAGAGGCTCAGGGGCGGTGAGAGGCTTCACCAGAGACAGAGTGGGGAACAGAACAGGCAGATCGACGAAGTACACTGCTGAGGGGAGCAGCGGGTGGGTCAGGAGAGGTCTGCTGCGCCATGTGGTCAACTCCTGGGAAGGCAGGAACCAAACTCATGCGGAAGTGGCTTTAGCTTCTTAGTGCTGTGCTTTAACCCGCTGTGCCACCAGGGAGGGCCTCACAGAGTGTTTTTTAAGGAACAAAAATTTAGTTCTCATAGTTCTGGAGGCTGGGTATCTTAGAGACAGATGTCAGATGGTTGGGTGAAAGTCCCTTTTCAGTTCATTCACTTTCTGTTGTGTCTTCACATGGTAGAAGAGACAAAGGGGTGATGTAGTTCTCTTTTATCAAAGGCATTAATCTCAATCATGAGGGTAGAGCCTAATCACCTCTCAGAGGACCTGTTTAATATTATCATGTTAATAAAGAGGATTTCAAGTTTTGGGAAGACACAAGCTTAAGCTAAACTTTCCTGGAGAGGTAACATTGTGTGACAAAAATTCCCAATTCTCATTTTAACTTTGTGATCTGGTTTTTATTGTCTCCATTCACAGGTGAGGCAACTAAGTTTTGTGGCTTGTTCACAGATTTCAAATTCTCTTTTTGCTGTGCTATAACATACACATTTTCATTTTGAGACATACTATGCACATAAACTCATTGATTGATGGTGAGACAATTATTCACAACAGCTGCCTTTATATATTTGAAATTAAAAGACTGTTGTGGAAAGAAATGAGGCTTTTCCTCTGTTGATTGATTGAGTAGAACATGGAACCTTTAGTATTCAGACCAGATAAATGGGAAGAATTTTCTTATACTTTACACACACACACACACACACACACACATAGACACAAGCACAAGCATATGTTAACATTAGTAAAAACCAAAGAAATGATAAGTATAAAAAAAGAGGACAGAATAAAGAGATTTTGGAACTCTACCATTTCTTTTAAAAATTTAAAAGGGAAGTAAAAACACCTTTTAAGAATTGCATCTGAGGGAATTATGAAAACAACAACAGTCATAAGAATATAACTGGACTAAAATCATATTTGAAAAAAAATAAACTAGAACTTGAGAGTTCTTGCTAATTGCAGAAAATGTTCAAATATTGGAGAAAGCTCTGATCCCTAACATTGAAAAAGCACATTGTGTGCCAAGAAGAATAAATGAGAACAAATTCCTATCTAGAGACATTTTGTTAAAACTGAAAATTACCAAAGAAACGCTATCAAAACATTTGATAAAATGTTCAGAAAATGACTTTCCCACAAAGAAATGACTATGGCCTGAAGACAGATACCAGAAAATAATGACAATAGTGTCAAAGCACTACGAGAAAATACGCCAGTTACCTCAATGTCTGGAATAGATGGCTAGATAAATTGGCCAGCAAAAGACATGAGAGTGTTGGAAAATTGCAAGAAAAATAAATTGGAAAAATTCTAATCTTATTAAAATAATTGAGAAAGCTAAACTAGTACTACTTTAGAAGCAAATGATAATGAAAAAGAAGATACTGGAATTACAAATCTATCAGTTTATAGCTTATGCTAAGCAAGTTTAAGGATATTTAAAAATTGGGAAAGAAAATTTGCAAAATGATATATATTACCAGGTGCTTGGAATTGAGTAATAAAATTTTTGTTAGTTTCCTATTTCCAGATTGAAAACACACCCAAAATATATTGATATATTGGGATGATAATGAGATTAGTCATGTCAGTAAACAGTTGCTTTTATCTATTTTAATGGTTTTATTCTTTTTTTTTTTTTAAATCAGTTACATGGAGAGAAATTATACAAAAGCTGATTTGCCTATTAAAAAAATTGTTTCTTAATTATCTTTTCAGGAACTAAACTTAAAGAGTGTTGACATTTAGAGTAAAGGCTTTATCTCTAAAGAAAAACCCATTTGATAATGCCAACGTCTGGTTACCCTGTTATACTTGATAGAATGTTCTGTCTCCTGTGGGGTTTGCCATCTGAATGCATAGTTGAATGAGGGAGACACTTGATGATAAATGGGTCTTCTTGACATAAAACAACTAGAAACACCAAATATCAAATTGTAATTGCTTCTCTTTAGACAAATGCAAAATTATGTCTTGCTTTTCATATGAAAAATAGTAAGATGAAGATTGAAAAATAGTTCATGAATAATTTACTTTCTTGAAAATGAACTTTATAATAATTCATCCCTATACTTTTTTCTTTCCCTAAGTATTAGATTCCTTGCCTTATGAGTTCAGTTAGTTGTTAGTAATTACATATTATCAAAGACTTCAATGTAGTTGATATTTAAGCATTAACTACTAATGATATAAATCTTTGAAATCGCAACAGAATTTAATCCTATTTAGTTACTACCAACCTGGGCCATATTAGAACTAGTGACTTAGAGGTAATCTAAATTGTCTCATAAAATTCTTTCCAGACACTTGAGTGATCCTGTGCCCAAGATATGCATTTGATAGTTTTCATTTTGTATAGTTACATTAGCTGAACTTAACATCTCCCCAGATTCCTTTAAAGTTGAAGAGTTTAGGGAGGGAACAGTTTGGAACATGAACTCTCAACCCTGATTTGAATGATGTAATGTAATTAAAACTACCCTCAAAAGAGATTAGATTGAGTGGGTTTCACTACAAATGAGTGAAAATGCTGATCCACTATATGAAAATTTGCAACCTTAATTCCTTTTTTATGACAAGCTGCCAGTAATGAAACATAAGATTACATTTAATAATTTTACTCATTACTTATAGGGCAAAATCTTACTTTGCAGTAAAAAGTTATTACTGTTTAGATACCACTGACATTCATTTGTGAAACTGATCATTTCAACCAGTCAACTGTGAAAATGAATGTAGGTTTTGAAACATTTATGCTGTGGTTAGTCAATTTAATGTACATTAGGCACTAAGAGGATCAGAAGGCATCACATTTCTAATTCTAAACAGTCACGAATATAATATGTATTTATTGTTCAAAAAATTGAAATGCTATGAATGTTCCTTATTATTATATTCAGAATATAACAAAAACAAT